GGGTTCAAGCGATTCTCCTGCCTCAGACTCCCAAGTAGCGGGCACTACAGGTGCCCACCACCATGCCCAGCCAATTTTTTTGTATTTTAGTAGAGGCGGGGTTGCACCATGTTGGTCAGAATGGTCTCAATCTCCTAACTTTGTGATCTGCATGCCTCGGCCTCCCAAAGTGCTGGGATTACAGGCGTGAGCAACTGCGCCCGGCCTGTGCTCACTTTTGAGACAAGGCAGGTAAGAGGCAGTGAGCCTTTTCCATTTACATCTTCCCTGTTGAAGGATATTAGAAGCTCCGGGTTGCGGAGGAACTGCAAGCGGAAAGGGGCTGTTAACCCAGCTTGGATTTTATGTGAGTAAGAAGTAAGCCTTTATCATGTTAAACCATGAAGATTTTGGGGTGTCCTTGTTGCTACAGCCTTGCCTAGCCTGGCCTGATCGATGCAGAGGCTGAAGACTCGGACATGACCGCTACACATTCCTGGAGCTTCACCAGAGCAGATTCCACGGACTCACCTCCTACACCTGAGCACGTGTGTGTGTGTGCACACCCTGGCAGACACAGCCCTCTCCAGGAAACAGTGAGCGTCTCTCCACCATCAGGCAGAAAGTCATCAGCCCTCTTATTGCCATCCTTGCTAACTCCCTGGCTGTCTGCCCAGCCTGACCCCCTGAAGGGGAAATGACTCCAGATTCAGAGCACAGACTCTGCAGCTTTGATGCCCACAGGTTAGGATTTCAGAATCCTGGTTCCCACAGCAACAGCCCCAGTGCTCCAGCATAGTTTTCAATGTCGATACGTGGGGTGGGGGAGGGGGGATTGAAGGAAGGCTGCAGCGTGTATAATTGTGAGGTGTGTGCATGTATGTGTGAGTGACTGTGTGCATGTATGATTATGACCGTGTGTGTGTGGTGTGTGTGTGTGTGTTGGAGGGGGGCTTTAGCTCAGTTTATCTCTCTCTCTGGGACTGGAAAATCACTTTCTCATGCATAAAGACACAAATGTGTTCTCCTAGATCAGAAAACCCTAGAAGGCAGGGCCCAAGGCTGGGTCAGCCAGGTCCCCCACAGTGTCCAAGGGAGTGTTTGTTGACTGACTGAATGAAAGAGTGAGCAACAGCTGCCACCTCCAAGGCAGTTTGTCAAAAGCAGATATACTCGAGGGCTTTATTTTTGTGTCAAGCATTCACCCATCCCCTATCCCTAGAAGAGAACCTGGCTTCTGTGTTCTCTGACTTCTGTGCTGCAGCAACGAGAGCAGAAATTACCTCGAATTGTCTTTCCATCCAGGCCTCGTTTCACAAAGGGCTGAATGCACGATCAGTGTTTCTCAGATATCATAATCACTTTTTTTTTTTTTTTTTTGAGACAGTCTCGCTCTGTTGCCCAGGCTGGAGTGCAGTGGAGTGCAGTGGCGTGATCTCAGCTCACTGCAGCCTCCACCTCCTGGGTTCAAGCGATTCTTAAACCTCCGTCTCCCAAGCAGCTAAGACTACAGGCGCTCGCCACAGTGCCAGCTAATTTTTGTATATTTTTTGTAAAGACGGGGTTTTACCATGTTGCCCAGGCTGGTCTCAAATTCCTGAGCTCAAGCAATCTGCCCACCTCAGCCTCCCAAAGTGCTGGGATTATAGGCGTGAGCCACCACGCCTGGCTGATTACAGATTTTTGAATGGCAAAAACTCAGAAACAGGGTGAATGCCCATTCACAGGGGAAACTGCTAAATCAATTGTGTTCCACTTACAGCGTGGCATCTTATGCAGCCTTTATAAAGAATGAAATAGGCCCAGATGGGTTGGCAGGATTTCCAAGCTGTGTTGAGTAGGAAAAGCAAGATGCAGAGAAGAAAATGTAATATGATACAATTTTTGTAAAACAAAGACAAAAGACCCCTCTGTGAACTGGTATGATTACAGGAATGTGAAGATAAGGGTGGATGAACACACAGCAGATGATCACAATGGAAAAATTAAATGGGTGGGCTTCGGGGAAGGGGTCGAGCAGGGCCAGCTCCATGGGTAGTGGACTGCGTGCAGGGCCCTATGCTTAGAAGGACCCGTGCTTGCTCAAATGCTCTGCTGTTGCCGTCTTGAAATTCCTCATAATTTGTTGAACCAAAGACCCTGCATCTTCATTTTGCACAGGTCCCCGAAAATTACGCAGCTGGTCGTGGGACACAGTCACAGCCATGGAAGATGTGGGGGAGGAAAAGCAAGCAAAGAAAGTAAAAGGCTATGCTTAAATCGTGTGGCCGAGCACGGTGGCTCACGTCTGTAATCCCAGCACTTTGGGAGGCCGAGGAGGGTGGATCACCTGAGGTCGGGAGTTCAAGACCAGACTGACCAACATGGTGAAACCCTGTCTTTACTAAAAATACAAAAAAATTAGCCGGGCATGGTGGGGCGCGCCTGTAGTCCCAGCTACTCAGGAGGCTGAGGCAGGAAAGTTGCTTGAACCCTGGAGGCGGAGGTTGCAGTGAACCGAGATCGCATCACTGCGCTCCACTCTGGGTGACAGAGTGAGACTCTGTCTCAAAAAAAAAAAAAAAATCATGTATGATATGATTCTACATATGTAAAATTAGGTATGTATGTTGATATGAAAAAAATTAGAAGATATTAAAACCTAAAGGGACAATTTATATGGCTTGCCTAAAATAGAAGGTAATTGTAAAAATAAGCATACTAAAAATAAAACCACATCAAAGATGCTAAAAGACACATTATCATCAGACTATCTGATAGAATCAGAAGGAATGACAGAACATTGAAAAATAACAGTTATTTCAACTTGTATTGCCATGCAATTTGGTGTGATTTAATGCTAAGTTCATTCGCCACCTGAAGTTACACTGTATGCCCCTGAAAATCATCTCTAGTTGTACCTCAAATTCTGGAAAGTGATGGAACAAGACCAGGAAGGGATGGAGGGGAGTGGTTGGTTTCAGAATAGGAGAAGACAGAGGTTGGGAGCACAGATCCCAGTCCAGAAAGGAGGCAGCTTTTTCAGGCCAGTCCCAAGCAGAAGCCCCGGAGAGGGACAGGGCCTCGGCTGGGGTAATCCGAACAAGACTCCAGTGGGACGGGCTGCGAAGGACCCTGTAAGCCCAGGAAGAATGAAGGCACCAAAGAGCCTCCTTGCCTGGAATCTGAGAAAATGGGACAGTGACACTGATACTCCTTTGTGTCACCCAGGCCCTTGGGGTGTCCCACGGGCATCTGAGCGGTGAGGGACTTGAGGAGAAAGGAGACATAGCCAGCTGAGCCTCCGGCTGGCTGGCCCAGT